TTTTTAGAATATCCTGCAGTATTCTCTGTAGAGTTGAATTGGTGGTTGCAAATTCCCCTACTTCCTCTTTATCCTGGAAGCACTTTGTTTTTCCATCAATTTCCAGGCACAGTTGTGCAGGATATATCAATCTTGGCTGGAGGTTATTATCTTTCAAAGCTTGAATTATTTCCTCCCATGCTCTTTGTGATTTGATGGTTTGTGTCGAGAAGTTTGCCGTAATTCTGATGGATGTTCCCTTGTAAACGATCTGTTTCTTGTCTCTGACGGCTTTTAATATTCTGTTCTTATATTGGATATCTGGAATTTTGATTATTATATGCCTGGGTGTAGCTCTGTTTGGGTTGTAGGTGGCTGGGGTCCTGTATGCCTCATACATCTGAGTATCTTTGCCTTTTGCTAAATTAGGGAAATTCTCTTGGATTATTTCTTTGAATAGCTTTTGTAGTCCACTTGTTTGTGTTCTTACTTCTTCTTTTATGTTCTTAATTCTTAAGTTATAGACCCTCTTATCATCTTCTAGCCTCTATATTATTGCTGTTTGTTTTCTTGTTATTTTTAAGAAGTTTTTCATTTCATCCTCCCACATTACAAATCTGTCCTCCAGTTTAGATAATCTATCCTTAGTTTCTTTCAAGCTGTTATACCAGCTTTCAATAGAATTTTTAGTTTCCTGGTATCTCTTTGAACCTGCTTCATGTATTCTATGTTTTCTCTATTTTCTCCATCAAACAATTCTCCCCTTTTTTTCTGTTCTTCCATTCCACCATCTGTTTTTTTCTTGGATGGTGCTTAGCATTTCTCTAACTATTCTACTTATATCTTGCTTTAGGTCGTTAATAACTTCATTTTTGAACTGGTCTATGAGGCTCTGGAGATATTTCTTTATATCTATTGGTGTCGTGTCTGATATTGCATGTTTCTCAGGATTGGGGGCCGAGGACCCTTTCTTGTTGCTCCCTCTTCCCATATTTTTTGTTCTTCCATACAAGCATATATAGGAGGCCCAGTTTCTTTCTTTGTCAGTTACAGTTTGTTTGAATTGCGCCGGCTAGGTGTTCCTGCCCACTGCAGTGTACTAGGGAGACAGAGACCTGGGCAGCCTATGCTTGGCCCGCCCCTCCAGGTCAACCTACTGAAGGCTTCACTGCTAGGGTGCACCTCCAGGTGCTGGGACCTGGTTTGGGCTAGCCTACTGGATCTTAAGTCAGAGGCGACACTCAGGCCAGGCGCTCCCCACCAATCCCGCTTGAGAGGGGAATATGGGACCAAGGACACTGCAGCGTCCTGTTTCGGCTAGTCTGCCCAGTCCCAGTACGTCCTTTGCTGAAGCCTCCTACTCTATGGAAGGGTCCCCGATCCGCTCACTCACCACAGGTTGATGCAGGGCTCCCGGCCAGTCCTGCTCTCAACTCCATTCGCCGCTTCCCACTCTCAGAGCTTTCGCACGTCTCTCTCCTTGCCGTGCTGATTGGGACGCAGCAGCAGCTGCAGGAAATTCAAATCGTGGCTTCCAGTGGTGCGGGATCCAGCTTCCGCACTGAGACCTTATCTGTTCCTGTTATAGCACCAGGATTGCATTTCCAGTAGGTTTCTCTTAGTTTAGTTCATTTCTGAGTCAGCAGGGTGTATCTCCCCTTGCTTAGGACTTCTCACCCCACACCATTCCTGGATTTTAAGCTGGCTATCTCAGAGAGCCTCCGTAGCTGCTGCTATCTATCCGCCATGTTCTCCCAGAAGTCGCTTTGCTTATTTATATAGAAATGTAAAACACATTACTAAAGCCATTTGAAGGATTAACTGTATCTAAAGGAACACAATGTTATTTTCATACTGAAATACAAAATCACATGGTCACAGGGGAGTTAGCTTCACCAGAGAGGAATAATTTTCCATTCCTGTGTCACTAGGCCTATGCTCACCAAGTACCACCATTTGAGCTTGGTTAATGACAATAACAATAACAACTGTTAGAAAAATCATCCAAAATTTAAGAAACCAAAGCAGCTTTGGGAGATGATAACTCCCTGCTCTCCCCCAAGTAAAACTCCTAAGATGCTTTGTGATTCTCTAACATTAACTTGGGTGCATAAAAGTTATCAGCTTCTTTAATAATGTTTGGAAATGGGAAAAATTCCTTTTGGCTAATTTACCCCTAGGCAATAGATAGTATTTAAATTTTATGAAAAAAAATGTCAATTACAAGTAAAATGAGTACAGGCTAAAATGACTGGATCCTTTTTAAAAGTCTGAAAAAAATAACAGACTATGCCTGCAAAATGGTATCACCACAGATGAACATGTTTTCTTTTTTCCAGATACCAGAAAACAGTTCAGTGTATTTGCATCACTGCTGGCCCAGCTACCAGGAAACTCAGCGCTAGTATTAGTATTTGAACACCAAATCCTAAGTCTAATTTGTTTGCAATCTGTTATCATTTCTAGTCTCTATCTAGAAAAATTTAAATTTTTCTACATATTTTAAAACTATCTACCTTCAAAAATTCTTCCTGTAAGAGAGATGAAAAATTTAAATATATAATATAATCCCTTATTATGAAAGTCTTTATTACTAAAAATTTATCCAACATCTACTACACAGCAGGCATACTGCCATGGCTGTGGATTCTTTGTAAAACAAGACAGTCATGGTTCCTGGTCTCATATATTATAGGATGGCAGGTAAAGGAGGTAATGATGAACAAGAAAATAAATATAAACATTATTATAAAGTATGATAAGTGGGTAAATACTCTGAAAAAAGCCTTAGGTGATCAGCAAAGTCCCCTTAGAGAAGGTGACTTTTTTTTTTTTTTGAGACAGGGTCTCACTATGCAGTTCAGGCTAGCCTTGAGCTCACTTTGTAGCTCAAGCTGGTCTCACACTCACAATGATCCTCCTGTCTCAGCCTCCTAAGTACTGGGATTACAGGTTTGTTCCACCATGCTTTGCATAAGAAGGTGACATTTAAATTTAACCTGAAGAATAAAGAGCTGCCACTAAATAGGATGAAAAAAAAAAAAAACCACTTTCTAGCCAATTGAACACAAGTATAAAGTCCCTGAGAGAAGGTAGTTCCAGAAATGTAACGGAAGTATAATGATGGAGGATAGTGATCAAGGAAGCAGGGAAGTCAGGTTGGAGGGTTCAGCTGGGACCACATTAGGAAAGGGCTTGCAGGTGTGGCACAGCGGTAGGTGAACCACTGAATGGTCTGAGGAGGGGTAGGTGAGGTGGAGTTAGAAACTAAAGGGACAGAGCCTTTCATATTTGGATAAGTCCACATAGCTGCAGCTTGGAGGATTATTTAGGATAGGAAAAGAGGAGATGATCCTCGTAGTGCCCTTAGGAAGACAGGAAGACCAGTCTTCGTATTCTGAAGACAAGCCAGAGCTGCTGATGGGCTGAACACAGGCATTCAGGATGAATCTCAGTGGCAAGTGTGAGGTCCAGAGTTTGATTTCTGGTACAAAAAAAGATGAATCTCAGGTATCTTGGTTTTAAGTGACTGAGCGGCGGGAGGAACCATTTACTCAACTCCCGGAAAATGTAATTACCTAAAACTTAGCATTTTCAATACTTAATCATTTTATTTTACCTTTATTTTTAAATACTTCATCATTTGAAAGTGACCTGAGGATGGCAGGAACCCAGTCAGCATCAAGATGGCAGGATCAGAGATGGGAAACAGTTTAAACATGTGACTTGTCCTAGAAACACAGATGTCTTCTGTGGGCACAGACAACAAACTTTCTCTTTTTCTTCTCTATCTCAAGCATTTAGAAAATAAAACTCCCCAGACACATTGAAAGATCTTTAATGTCATTACCCATCAAGGAAATGCAGCTCAAAACCACAAGTTGCCATTATGTGTCCACCAGTATGGTTAAAAAAACCCCAGATAATAGCAAGTGTTGGTAAAAATGTAGGGCATTATGCATCTTCCTATACTAATGGTAAAAATGTAAGGTTGCACGGTTGGTTAGAAACCATTTGGCAATTTCTCCAATGACTAAACATAGAGTTAGCGTATGACCAGCTATTCCACTTCTAAATATAAACCCAAGAGAACTGACGATACAAATGTCCATTAAAAACAGTATTCATAATAGTAAGAATGTTTTAAGAACTCAAATGATTATATAAAAAACTCATGTTTATAATTAAGAGTTTATGTCTCTTGTAGGTCTTAGAGGTCTCTTTTCCGTAAGACTTCTCAGAGCCTTTAATTCATATTGTGTTCATAATGTGCATAGTAAGTCAACCAGGTAGGTGGGGTATAGGTGATCATTTCCAAATATCCGCTTATAGAACCTCTTTCTAGTGGAGCAGCACCACAAGGACTAGGTTTTTGCAAGTATGCTACTTAGTAGTTTGCTCATTCATTCATCAAGCACTACCTGATCATCTGTAATATTCCTGCAACTCAGTCACTTTTGAGCTACAGATGAAGCTGATACCTCCCACAGAGGACTGGTCCAGAAGAAAGGAGAGATTGTTCTTAAATAACTTGAAATTACTTAAAACAAATACCTTAAGGGCTGTCAGTCAATCACGCAAAACTCTGAAATGTCAAACTCCATTCTATAAGGTGAAGAGGTTTAAACTTCATTGTATACGAAATGGGGACCCATTAACGTTTCTGAGTAGGGGTAGGAGCAGACCTAAACAAGGCACTCTCTGGGTCTCAGGTGTTTCATTCATAAAATGGGCTAATTCTACCAGCCTTATCTCACCTCCATGTGTAGGGATCACAGAGCCTGGCTAGCAGGCAGCACAACTCAGCCAAGTTTTATTACTTGGCAGCAGAACAGCTGTTTCCAGTCCCTTTGGAAGAATGTGTGTCTCAAAAACACCTGACACGCGGTATTTCATCTCTGTGGCAGGGCCAGATGGGAAATCTGAGATGGAAAATGAAGGCCTTGAAACAGAGCATATTTGAAAGTTCTCTTGTAGCAGTCAAATCAGATCTGTATTTGATTTCATTTTATTTTGTTTAGAATGAAATAGACACTACAAGGAAGGAACAGCTGTTGGAAACAAAGAGAAGAAAGCATATAAATAACAGATTGCTTGACTCTATCAAATACTAAGGAAAGATAGATGTGTGCTCCAGGATGTGCCCCATGCACATGAGTGCACTCATGTGAAGAAGCCTGACTGATGCCCGTCTCATTCGGTACTGTGCATGTGAGTTTGGGGTGACTGCAACTGTGTGCAAAGGGGTGCTTGTTAGGAGTCAAATATAGAAAAAAGGGGGATCCCAGCCACATTGCTGAACATTTACCCTTCTGCTATCATATGGTATAAAAGCAAAACCATACAGACAGACAGACAGAGACGGCGATCCCCAGGTACTGGCAGGACTGACACAAGCCCCTGGCGCGGGACCCCAGGCCAGGACAGAGAGGAATCTCGGCGACCTCGGAGCCTTACCGGGCAGAGCTGTCCCGCGTGCGCCGAAGCCATCTTGCCACCATTTGTTCTATTCTGTGTGCTTTCCGAGTTTGGAATATACTGGTCTCCAGCTCTTCCATTTACCTACAAGGAAGAAGAGTGCTTTTTAAGAGCTAACCAAAGCACTGTAGAGAGAATTCTGTCACAAAGTGTCAAATTCTGACACTTTTTGTGTTTGCCCAGTAGAAGATACATTGAGACTTTCTATCTGAAACCCACAAAAAGCTGGACCCCCACAGAGGGACACTTTAGCAAACAGAGTGGCTTTGTTTTAAGCAAGAGAGAATACAATAGATAAAGCTGCTCAAATTTTGTGACTGTGCCCCTCAAGGAGAAATGCACCTTCCTAGGTGACACTCTTCTCGCTCCTCCAACCCTGTGAGCATCCCTGGACCACATGGCTCAGTTTGTCTGCATCAGGAGCTGCAGGTAGGAAGTTTTCCTCCCCGATGACTGGGCACATTCTTCTGAGTGTCACTTGTTTTGACAATGTTTTATATATGATTTTGAATAGGGAATTCACTTGTATAATTCACCAGCAGCTCATAAAAAGATAGTTGCTGTGTTGGGAACTCTGAAAATTTGTGAAAAGGGTAGATCTAATGTTTAAATGTCCTTACCATAGTAAAATACATGTATATGGTGAAAAGTTTCCTTTCTGAGCTTTCCCCCATCCACGTCGTTCCCATGCTCGTACTGTTCTCTCATTCTGCTTATCCTTCCAGGGTTGCTTTGTGTGTGTGTGTGTGTGTGTGTGTGTGTGTGCGCGTGTGTGTATGTATGCCTATATAAACACTTTAAATACAACCATAGATTTTATATTTTTTAACATAAAGGATAGTATACCATACACACAGTCCTTCACCATGTTTCTTTTCTTTTTTTAAAAAATTTTTTATCGGTACCAGGGATCGAACTCATGACCACGCGCTTGCAAGGCAACCACTTATGCCACTGAGCTAAATCCCCAGCCCCACACCATGTTTCTTTTTCTCTTTGGAATATGGTCTTTTATATCATTCCATATCAGTACTAGAATCATTCATCATTCTTTCTGACAACTACTGAGTACGCCATTGTATGAATGTATTGTAGTTTAAAGAATAACCCTCCATTGATAGGTATTTGCCAATATTTTGCTATTATAAAAATATTATAACGATTATGCTATACACATACCACTTACGCATATATGCTATTATATATCTGGATAGGTTTGCCAAATACTAAATTGCTAGAGTAAAAGTTACATGCATTTATGCTTTGATTGATAGTGTCAGGTTACCAAGAAAAATTATATGGATGTATGCTTGAGATGAATGTTTCATGAATCAGAATAAATCTATTTCTACTCTATTTCACTTTTTAAAAATTGGTCTCAACTCAGAAAATTAATTTCATAGCCTAATAAATAATCATATAAAATATAACATTAGAATGTAAACATTGACACAGAGCAAATAAAAAAGGATTAAAGATGACACTGTAATAGTATACAAATGTACTTGAAAACCTTGATGACACTGATAGTTTTTTTTTTTTTTGGTCTTTTTCATTTTTATCAGTATCAGGGATCGAACTCACGACTGCCTGCTTGTAAGGCAGGTGCTTATGCTGCTGAGCTAAGTCCCCAGCCCCTGACACTGATAGTTTTAAGAAAATATCTATGATCCAAGGTGTCCCTAACAGAGACAGAAAAATATTAAAAAACCAATTAGCATAGAATAAAAATTTATTTAAAAGCTTCACTTACATCCCCCAAAACCAGGCACAGGCAAGTCCAAAGGTAAATTCTTACAAATCTATAAAATGAAGCTCATCCTATAATTTCTTATTTTGCTTTACATAAACTTTTAATTTAGGAATAATTTTAGATATATGAAAAGGTCACAAAGATAATAAAGTTACCATACCACTTCATTCAGCTTCCACAATATTAACAACTTATAAAAGTATTGTGCATATTTTCCAAATTAAGAAATCAACATTGGCACAATACTATAATCTATAGACTAGGTGTGGTGAACCTGTGACATCCATGCCACAACAGGCTGTTTGTTATCATCAAAGGCTCAGAAAGATTTGCCATCGCTGCTATAGATAATATTCAAATTTCATCAGTTTTCCCCCCAAATATTTCTTTCCTTTTCCAGGATCTAACCCAGCATACCATTTTACAATTAGCTTAATTTCCCCCCAATGTTATTTCAACTGTTCTATACACAAAGAAATTTTCCAAATTCTTTTTAAGGAGTCAGAATAACCCTCATATAAATGCTGACAAAAATATTACAGTAAAATAGAAATATAATCTCCAAGTATAAAAGTATAGTAAAAATATTAGCAATATAATCCAATGGCAATCCAAAAAGTAACAGTGGGATCTGTTCCACTGGAGCGAGCAAAGAAGACTAACCACAGGACATAAAGACAAACACAGGCCAGCCAAACTGATCACTCCGATTTTATTTTACTTTACAGAAATAGAGCCAAGTAAATGGACAGAAAGGTGAATAAGGTCATAGGCTGCAAGGAAAAATAAATTCACTTTAGTTCAACGGATGTGTCAGGCTAGCTTTATTCTACAATTGAAACATCAGACTGAGTATTATCTTTTGTTCTAGGCATCTCACTTTTAAAAAGTATGAAAGTGATAATAGTTTATGCTAGTTAAACATGTAAATCAAAACAGTGTCTTAACACCTACTTACTGTAGAAATCACAGTAAAGGAATAAAAAGGTGTCAACTCCTGGGACAGCGAATACAGGGCATGTAAGTTACACTCCATTGGCTGTGACAAATACCTGATATCCACAATTTAAAGGAAAAGAGGCTTTCATTGGCTCACAGTTGCAATGTCAGTTCATAGTAATCTGTCTTCAAAGCAGCAAAAGTGTGGCGGAAGGGCACCCCAAGGCATCCAGGAAGTAGACAGAGCAAGAGGATGAGTAGGGGACAAGATTCCATCCATTCAGGCCATGCCAACTCACCTCTTCTGACCAGGCTTTGCCTCTTAACAGCACACTCAGCTATGAACTCATCAGTGGATTAATTCATTGGTAAGGATAGTGCCCCCATAGTCTAATCACCTTCTAAAAGCCCCACTTCCTCTGAACATAAGAACTTTGGGGGATATTTTAGATCTAAACCATAACAAAAGGATTCAGAATACAGAAGACAACAGATAAATATATTAATGTGCTTTGGAATTAGGCACATAAAATATATTAATGTGCTTAATTACTGGAAAAGAGGTAATGAGATTTTTGTTTTTGTTTTGTTTTGTTTTGTTTTTTGAGACAGGGTCTCGCGATGCAGTTCAGGCTGACCTTGAACTTACTTTGTAGCCAAGGCTGGCCTGGAACTTAGGATGAACCTCCTGCCTCAGTCTCCCAAGTGCTGGCATCATAGGCATGCACACCACACCCAGTCTGAGGTAACAAGTTTTGCAGAACCAAGAAAACAGAAACCTATGTGATTTTTATAAGGGGATTCTGAAGAAAGATGAGTAGATGTTCCCAATAGCTCAGCAATTAGAGGCAGTAGATACAGGAGAAATCTGAGCTGAGTCATAGAGCTGAAAATATGGAAACAGTTCTCTACAAGCAATAATTGTATTCATGATCCTTACCCATCTAGACAGCATTACTTTCCAGTCCTACTGGAGATAAATGACTCATTTTCTGGAGAAAAAAAAAGTGAGCAAGAGAGGTTTGGGAAGACCAAGCACAATAACAGGTGCAGGTTACTTAATCCTTGTGGATTAAGTAAAACTCTCACTGAACAACAAGATCTCTAGCCTGTTCTTTTGCATACTTCTCAGAAAACCTGCAGCTAGGACATTAGAGCCCAAGAAGAGGCTAGAGAAGCTTCTTGGGATCGTGGATGATCACTAGAGAAAAGACCTTTGGATGGTGATGCTTCCAGATCCCCTCAGCAAAAAGGTAACTCTACCAGATCACCTTGAAGCCTATTTGCCAATGAGTCTGACTCCTTACACAGAGCTCTGATCACTTACTTTAACTCTTATTATGAATGGACATTGATGAAAAGCCTGCATTATGAAAAACAGATGAAAACAAGTGGAATTCAGAAGTAACAGAAATAATGCAGGAAACAGAAGAAAAAATCTGGAATTTAAATCCTCACAAAGATACTATGGCCATGCAAGATCTTTTCCTTTTTAAGTGAACCATCACAGAGCAAGAATGAACCTCTTGGAAATTTAAAAAATTAGCTAGAATAAGTCAGGCACAGTGCTGCCTGCCTGTAATCTTAGCTACTCAAGAGCCAAGACAAGAGGATTGTTAGTTTAAGGCTATCCTGGGCAACTTAGTGAGACTGTCTTCAAAATAAAAGAAAAAAAGGTTAGTGATGTAATTCAGTGCAAAGGCTCTGGGTTCAACCTCCAATACACAAACAAACAAACAAACATGAAGAGCTTTACAGTGAACATTTCATTCGTGGCAAACAGCCATTTACAAGGTATTTGTTAGGATATATTTCTAGAAGTGAAATTATTACATCTAAGCATATGTTCATTAAAAAATTTGGGATGTACATTTAAAATTGCTTCCAAGAAAATACTGATTTATACTCCTGCCAAGAAAAGCCTTTAAAGCATTGAATAGTATCATTTGTAAAATTGCCAAGGATAGAACAAACATTTATTTTCTTAAAAATTTATGTTTTGTGAGACACAGAAGATAAAAGTAAAGATCCACATTCTCCAAAAACTACATATTATTCCTTAAAAATATTTGCTAATGGGAAGGAAAGCAGTTTAAATATACATATTTGGAAAAAATGCAGAAGACAAAAGCAAATATCAGGGCTAATTCCACAGCATGAAAAATTATATAATTATCCTAATTCAAGTATCTAATCCACCTCCAGAGGTTAACTCAGTTAACAATTTAGTATGTGTTTATACTAACTTTGCCTTAAATATGTAGAGGCCTATATTACATGCATGAAAATATCTTTCCCACAAAGATAGGATTGTGCATACCCAGTGGTCTGCACTTTGCATTCTTAAACATGTACTTTACATTTGAAACCAGATTAGAGCTCATTAGTTTTGATTTGAAGTTACTTGATTACTGGTAGATCTCAACATATTTCTTAGGCCCTGGTCATTTGTATTTATTTTGTAACTTACTTTTCTGTTTCTGGCATTTCCTTGTTTTTATACTGAAATGTTTGTCTGCTTGTTATTGATTTGTAAAAGCTCTTTTGTAATAAAGATTATTTAATGTTCTTTTGCCAAGGATACAAAATTATCATATTTCTGTGAAGTTTAATATGGCCGATCAAGAATGTAGGTCTAGTTTCCTGACTATTAGAGACTAGTCACTGAGGAAAGAAAAGCAAATATCTAGTACAGTCTACAGGATATGTTCCAAATATCAGTTGCCTTAGCCAGGCCTTCCATAAGATCAAAGTCTCTGACAATTCTAGGACATGGCTTTTTATTTTTGAGAGGGGGGAACATCTGACACAGAATTATTTTATTTTTGAAAGCATGTTGTATGAGATCTATATACAAATTGAATTAGAACACAAACCAAAAAATCATGCAAAGTTCAAATTTTCATTCAATAATATTCCTATTACAGACAAAAAGAAACCTGTCAAGTAGACTACTTACTTCACAGGTTATCTTATTCTCTACATATATGGCTTAATAAATTATTTTTTCCATGGAGCACAGATGTATAGATCCCATGGAAAGCTGTCAAGTGAGACTTCCTTCTGAATTATTAACTGTGATTTTATTTTTATTAGTACATGTTTGCAATACGTAATGATTACACTAATTGTGGGGAATTGGTACATGTACAAACTCATCTCAATTATTTTTCCCTTCTCTCCACCCCTTCTTCTTTGCCAGCATCAGATTCATTTATTTATAAGTCCTCATAAAGTTAATTATCATACACACAAAATAATAACCAGACTAAAAGGCCAAATAGAATGAGGTTACTGATGTGGTCTGTCTTCTATCAGCCTTCTTTCAGGGGTTAAGGATGGTTCAGACTTAAAACCAAGTCGTATAAAGACTCATCAAGAGATCAGGGTATTCTGGGCTGGGAATGTGGCTTTGTGATAAAGTGTTTGCCCAGCAAGAACAAGGTCCTGGGTCCGTCCTCAGCAACACAGAGGTGGAGAGGAGAAATCGGAGAACGCTTATCAGATTAAAAACTTGGAGGTAGCCTATAGTATCACAGTTCACAAACAGTCCAAAGGCCAACATGTGGAACATCACATACTCCACATGATTCTAGGATGCAGAGCAAGGATGAATAAGGGAAGTGCCACAGGGAGGGAGACTTTATCTCCAGCTCTATCAAGACCTCTAAAGTGTTCCTTACAGTCCACAGGGTGGAAAAAGATTTTTCAAGAGTTATCAATATTTCAGCAACTGAAGGTATTTGAAAAGAGACTAACTCTGCATGGACCTAAAAGAGGTATTACAAGAGCTGAAAGTGTAATTCAGTGGTAGAGCACTTGGTCAGCATGCTCAAGGCCCTGAATTCAGTCTGTATTGCCAACAAGAAGATGTGGATGTTGGGGAAAGGGAAAAAGGAAGGGAGGAGGAGAAAGAAGAGGAGAACTACACTACAATGGAGTAGAGGAATGGAATACACAGACTAGACGACCTCTATAGTTCCTCCCATCCATGAAATTTGAAGTCTCTACTAGACCTAGGAACCAGGAAAGATAATACTTGTTGCCTTCTCTCTTGAAATTCAAATCCCTGCATTACCCCGAGAATTTGAAAGTTCTGAAGTAACCATAGCACTGGAAAATGCAGAATTTCTGACCTCCACATTATTCAGCCTTTGAATGAATGCAGAGTCATCAGATATACCCACAATGTTTGGAGACCAGCAAGCCTTTTCAGCTTGCAGTAGTTACTTAGGGGATTGTGAAGAAACTGCTGGCAAACACAATTGAGCTAACCAATTTCTATAAACATAGAACTAACAGAATTAATTTACATTCTATATCTGACTGTGAGTAAGCATGTGCCTTCACCCAGGAATCTCTAAAGACCAAACACACGGCCACATCAACCAACCCAGTGAAAGTGCTTCCTGATTCAGAAAGGTATGAGTAGGAGAATTTAAAATCAAGAGAATGATCTGCTAACAGCTTTGATATTAGTCTCTCTGCTTTTGTTAATGGAATAAAGTAAGAACCTAGATAATTCCCAGACATCTGAATCTTCTCTACAGTCCTATTGCCAAGAAATTATTTCACCTTCGTTTATGGTTCTATCATTCACTGTTGGGCCTGTCTTGTTAGAAAGTGTCTAAAGCTAAGTTCTTCCTCTCTATAGTTTCTGACCTCTGTAGAAACGCTGCCCTCTGACCACCCTAATTACCACCCGCAGAACAAATCACTTCCCTTCTGTAAACTAGATTTTTTACATTAGTATGTGGAAATCTTTCTATTGACAGGTTTTCAGTACATAATAATCACTTTCATTGTGGGAAGTTGATACCTGTACATAACACATTTTAATTCTTTTTTTTTCATCCCCTTCCTTTCCTCTTCCCCCTCTTTCCCTTCATCTCCTGATCCCCTTTACAAAAGTTCTGTCTCCCTATTTTCTGTTCTATTTTATTTTGCTCTTTATTTATATTTTGGGTTTCTCATCTAAGAGAAACCATGTGATATTTAAGCTGTAACATTATGGTCTGAAGATCCATCCATTTCCTACAAATGGCTCAATTTATCCTCCTTTATGGCAAGTAGTACCCTGTCGTGTATAATGCCATATCTTCTCCATTTATTTATCTGTTGATGGACATATGGGCTGCTTTCAAGACTGAGCTATGATCCTCTGTCCCATACCATATATCTCAGTTCCTCTACAATTCTTCATAGTACAGCACTGCCTTAGATCATCCTCCTTTGGGAACACACTAACTTGGCAAAATCCCCTAAAAGACACAAATTCTCAAACTGAACACATTCTGATTGTCTGGAACAAAGTGAATATAAAAAGGGAAACCCTCTCAAAATAGTTTCCAAATGGATAAGATGATTCAATACATCAAAATGACAGTCATTTTAAAAGCAAGTGGAAAATGAAGACCATAAGCATTCCAAACAGATAAAAGATATGGTAATAAAATATTTCAGGTAACTAGTACCTACTATTGAGAAATGAACAATAATAAGGGAGCTAGCAGAGGATAGAAGAGAAACTGAAAAGCCAAAAATCATTTGCACTGAAGTGGTATTTTAAAATACAACTGGACACCCCAGAGGGCAGGGTCCACTGGAAGACAGTGAATTCACGATCCAGGCCTCCTCCACTGTGTCCCAGAGGGCAGGCCGGCTGGAAGACAATGTGTTCATATTCTGTGCCCCTCCATTATATCCTGGATGGCGAGACCAGCTGAAGGACAGTGAATTCATGCTCTGGGTGTCCTCCATTACCTCCCCAGATGGCAGGGCTGGCTAGAAGAGTGTAAGACCCCCAGAACCCCAAGACCCAGGACAACAGCCCAGCACACAGACACACACACATACACCTTTGGAGGGCAAGATGCAGAGGCAGGGCACAGTCTCAGATTCCCAGCCCACCCAGGACAGGCCTGGAACTCAACACGATGGATGAAGTTGGAAGTTAAACACTGGAACCTTCTGAAATGATAACAACAGAAGTGGAAAAGACTATAGAGAAAATGGTTTCTCACGTAAAAAAAGAAATGCTGCTTAAAATCAAAGATAATAGAGAAGACACAAATAAAAAAATAGATAAGCTTAGAAAAATATGGAAAGAAAAAATGCCCAACATCGGAGAGAAATGGAATCCATGAAACAAATCCAAACAGAGATTCAGGAGATTCAAACCTCACTTGAAAGTATGTGTAACAGACTGAATGAAAGAAATGATATAATTCAGATCTTGAAGACAGAATTGCAGTAGTGATCATGAAAAGAAAGATATCTCAAAAGTAGCAAGAGACCACGAGATATCAATCCAACAGCCATAGGACAAAGCAAAGAAGAATAACACAGGATTGACGGGTCAATATGAAAACTGGAGACATCACAAATGCCATAAAAATCATAAATATATATGTACCTAATACAGGAGCATCCAACTATATAAGACAGTTATTGGCAGACATAGAAAATCAAATAAGCAATATCACAGTTGTGATAGGAGACCTGAATATCCCATTGTCACAGAGAGACAAATCAACTAGACAGAAAATCAACAAAGAAATATCAGAGATGAACCAAAGCTGTGAACAAATGGAGTTAACAGGATGAAGCATGCCCGAGGCTCCGCTGCCATCAGGGGAACATCAGTGAATCACCGCCCAGAGCCTCTCCACCACTCTGAGAACCCCAGATTGGAGGAACCCAGGTGACTAGTCCAATCCACTACAACAAAGGATTTACAGTCAATGCAGGAAACACCCAGGATACATCATGGGCTTATTCAGAGGAACACAAGAAAATGTTAGGATGAAGGAGCAAAATACAATCTCAAACCTCCAGCTCATACAGAACAAGTTCAGGAGACATAGACATAGTAGAAATTAGAAGTCACATACCTGAAATTCTCTGAAAAGATAACAACTGAAGTAAAGAAGCAACTTAGTTCTTGTTTGGTTAATTTTACATGCCTATGTCTTATGGTCTGGACAGCTATTTTTGAAGATAACAAGAGGCATTACAGTAGCCATTATCTTGTTTTGAAATTCTGTATCATTTTCATTGTTTTGTTAGATTTGGTTTGGTCTTATTCTGTTTTGTTTTGTTTTGTTTGATTTGATTATGTCTGAAGGTGTGGGCAGCTATTTTGAAGATAATAAGATATAGTAGCCTTTACTGATTTCTTATGACCTTGTTTTGAAGTCCTGTATCATTTAATTGTTTTATTTTGATTGGCTTTATTCTGTTTTATTTTGTTTGGTGTTATTCTCATTAAAATAAAAATAAATAAAGTAAAATAAAATAAAACTGGGTAACAATTCAAGTGAAACTATAAGAGCTAGAATCAGGCTAAAGATATTCAACTTACAAATAATAGGGACTAGCAAAGAAATAAAAAAGGGAAGTATAAAGTTAAATTAAAGAAATAAGGACATTTCTTCTGAGCTGAAAACTATGTTTCAAATGTCAAATAAAAAAGACAATTCTCAAATATTCTTCAAGGAATTTTCCTTACACATAAACTCAAATTCTTAAATTTCAAAGATTAAAGAATTATTCTTTGCCTAATTTGTGTAAGGTCATGGGTTTGATCCCCAGTGCTAGACTAAAAATAATGCTTAAAACCTGTTTTATTAGTGTACATGAGCAGTACATGCAGTGTACAATTATCTTGGGGAATGGGTATGTGTATATATATATATATATATATATATATATATATATATGTAACAGCTTTGTATGAAGTTCTGTGCAGGGGTGCCAAAGTGTAGCCTCTTTTTCTGAGATAGTATGAGTTCAGTTGTGTGACTCAATTTGTCTGAGATAGAAGTTTGAAGAATAAGAAGTTTATTGCTGTCATATAAAGGAATTTGGTCTTGATACATGCTCCAACATGAAGAACCCTCAGACATAGGATTCCCTTGGTATGAAATGCCTAGAACAGGCAAATCCACAAAGATGGAGAATTGACTTGGGGTTGCCAAAGGCTGTTGCAGAAGGAGAACAGGAACTGACTGCTAATGGCTCAGGGGGTGCTTTTTGGGAGTTAACGAAATGTTCTGGAATTAGAGATAATAACTGTACAACTTCGTGAGTTTAGTAAAAAACACTAATTGTGGTTTTAAAGGGTGGATTGTATGCTGTATAAACTATATCCTAATTTTATTTTTATCAGTATAGTTTGCAGTACAAAATGATTACATTTATTACAGGAATTAGTACATGTACACAACATACCTTAATTCTTTTTTATCCTCTTCCCCTTTCCTCCGCTCCCTTCATCTCTTGAACATTTTCTCCTTTTTGTGGGTACGTATTTGTAGTACACAATGATCACATTCCTTGTGGAATTTGGTATATTTACACAATACATTAAAAAATCTTTTTCTTTTATTCCATTACCCTCCCTTCTTTCACTTCTTCCTCCATATCTTGGTCCCCTTTTCATATGCAAAAGATCTATTTTGCTATTTCTCATAACCTATCTCTTTTTTCTCTTTATTTATATTTTGAGTTTCTCATATAAGAGGAACTATGCAATATTTAAGATAGTATGTATAATTTATTTAACATTATGGCCATAGTGTGCATTTATTTTCCTATAAATCACTCAAGTTTATTTTTCTTTATGGCAGAGAAGTACAAATGGACAATAAATACATGAAAAAGTGTTCAATATTGCTAACCATTAGAGAAATACAAAGTGAAACAACACTGAGATTCCATTTTACTCCAGAAAAAAATGACTATTATCAGAAAATCAAATAATAACTAATGCTGGCGAGGCTGCAGGGAAAAGGGAACCCTTCTACATTGTTGGTGGGAATGTAAAGTACTACAACCAGTAGGAAATCAGTATGGAGATTCTTCAAAAAACTAAAACTAGAAATTCCATTTGGCACAGCAGTTTTTTTTCTAGGGTTCTTTCTGAAAGAGTAAAAGACATTACATTGATACATATATATTCATGTTTATAGCAGCATTAACTCATGATAATTAAATCTTGGAAGCAGCCTCTATGCATATAAACTGATCAACTGATAAATAAAATGTGGTATTAATACATAATAGAGTACAATACCTTAATTTTTAATAAGAAAGAAAAAAGTCTACATTTAGTGCTCAGCTCCATCAAATGGTTCCCTTTTCTTTGAGGGTAACATCTCAACTCCTGCAAGGAATTTTCATGTCTTTCTCTTACTTTTTCATAGTAAAACCCTAAAATCTCTACAAGCACTGGAAGGATTCCAGAGTTTCTGGTTTTTAGTTCTAGTGTAGGACCTGAGAATCTGCATTTCTAATATCCCTCACGTGTGTCCAATCCTCACCCTACAGGCTGTTTGCCCTCTTTTTCTTTTTAAGTTACGATAACAAATATAAAGTGGAAGTTTTGCTATACATTAACTATATTGTATATTTCATATGAGCTCAATAGAGTTTCACTTCAATGGCTGTTACCAAGAAATCAATCAATAACAAGTGCCACTGGAGAAGTGCCACGGTTGGTGGGAGTGTAGACTGGTGCAACTCTGTGGAAATCAATATGGAGAATCTACACTAAAACTAGAAGTTCCACCCAACCTCGCTAGTCCCCTTCTTGGTATCTTCCTGAAAAAATTTCTGAAAGGAAGTTTATCATGGATCAAAGAAAAGCCAATGGATCACCATCATTTCTGTAGGCTTTCAGACTCTTTGGGTCATGTGAAGGACCTCTGGTCACCAGGATCCTTGCCACTTCTTCATGTACTCAGTAAAAGGGAGAAACAGGTATTATGGTTTATATCTAAAATGTACCCTAGAGCCTAAAATGCTCATAGGTGAAACTTTTTGAAAGTGACTGGATTGCTGGTGTCTGACACTGGATCAAGGGTGCAAGATACTAGAGCATTCCACTGATGCATTTATAGCTGGGTTGAGGTTGGGAGATGCAGCCTAGTGGGAAGGGGTGGGTCACTGTGGACTAATCCACTAGTAATTATCACCCCTTAATCACCTTGCAAAAGTCTCATGTATGAACACGTAAAGCTTTGGGGTGACATCTAGATATAAACCATAACATTCTGCTTTTATTCCCTAAAATAGACTCATGTGTATCTCTTTATGCAAAATGAATTTAGGTCATCTCTAAGAGGTGCTGAATTCCTAACAGTTTTAGCATTGCTGAAAAGTCCAAGCATAAATTCTTCTCTGAGAATTAAGGCAAACTGTGATCTGTGAGCCTCTATAGAAGTCAAAAGAAAGTTAAGACACTGCTGATATGCAGTGGCACAGGGCAAATATATCCATTCCAAAAAGGAGGAACAGGGAAATAGAAACTTTAATTCCATGTCTAGCACTTGGGGCAAGATATGCAGGTATGTGAATTTGGGTGCCCACACACCTACAACATTGCCAGTGGTTACAGTTCTTAGGGCTACTCTCTTGAGCTGGTTTTTGCTCACTCCTTGTGGTTTTCCTCAGGCGCCCCACATTCCTAGCTTACAACTTCCTGGAGTCTCCACTGCACTTTCAGCTTCAGTCTCATAGCTTTGCACACTAACCTCATAGGGTTGCACTCCCATGCATTTTTCTGAAATCTGTGTGGAAGCCTCCATGACCCCACACCTCTTACATTCTGCATTCTCATAAAACTGTAGCACCATGTGGGTGATGCCAAGGTCTGTCACCAGCTGGAACAAGAGTCAGCCCAATTTGCATTTTGTCAGTGGTTGCAGAGGCCTCCCTGCCTGATGGCTAAGCATGATGAACTAAATCTCAGAGAATCAATTTTCTATGCTGTCCTTATCCAATAAAGTGCCCTGGGGACCTCTTCTCAAAGTAGAGTCTCTCACTTTTGCAGGCCAAATGGCTGGATCTTGTTCTTTGCTGACATGCCCTCAAGCTATTTCCCCATTGTCCTGTTTGTTGTAAGGTACTTAGCTTCTTATTAATGCTGATCTTTTTAGCAATAAGCTCTCCTCTGCTCCATCTTTGCACACCCCCACTTTATCACACTTCCTTTCTAGCCAAACTGGAAACTTTTTAAATCATTCAGCTATGCTGTTAGCTCTTTGTTTTCAGTATAAATTTAGCTATAAGCCCCCAACAGTACCCTTACCACAGGTCCAACATTGGGACACCTCGCAATTTCCTGCACCAGATTAATTATTCCACTGTCCTTAACCTCAGTCTCCTGCAGTCTCGGGACATACATTAGCAAACTGTAAACAAGCTCTCTGCCAGAACATAACACACATGGCCTGGAGTCCAAGTTCAGTTGAGTACTTGTTTAGGATTGAAACCTCCTTTTCCTGGTCTTTACTGGTTGCATTACTGCCAATATTCTGGTCTTCTGAAGTCTGACCAGAATGTCTCATTAAGCTCAGATTTCAGCATTCTAGTCCTTCTTTAGCCAGCATCTCCAAATTTTTGCAGATTCCTCCCACAAACCAGTTCCATAGGCTTCTGAACCACACAGTCAGGTAACAGCACAGCAATAACCTCACTTCTTTGGCACCAAAATCTGTTTAAGTCATTTTTCTTGTCACATAGAATACCCAGTACCCACAATTTGAAGAAGAGGTTTATTTTGGCTCACAGTTTGCAGAGGTTTTGCTGCATAGTTAGGTTTTGGTCCATATCTTTAAGAGAGGACAACTTGGAACAATGGCATGGTAGAGGAGAGTTGCTCACGGTGTGCTGTCCAGAAAGCACACCCACATAAAAGGAACAGCAGGGGTGGGATATTTTCTAGGCCACTCCCCCCAGCAACACGCCTCCTTCCACCAGGTCCCACCTCCCAACACCACGTTTAGCTATAAATTTATCAGTGGACCAATCCATTGTCATCAGCCTGTCACAAGGCTATCTCTGGGAGATCCCTGGTGACAGCTGGAATAAAGAACCTATCCCATCCTCTTAAAACAAGTTTATAGATTTGCTGGTTCTTATCTCAGAAAAAGAATTTTCAGGAAGTTCCAATAAAAAAGAGATCTGCAAAGGGTTTATTTGGACACACTCAAAGCATGGAGTATGGGTGCTTAGAGAAAGGAGAACATGATACAAGCTGGAGTAGAGTGCATTTAAAAGGTGTCTTCAGGATAGGCTATGTAGGATGCATTATAATCACTGTTCTTGTCCCCTTTCCATTACCTTTTATGTCTTGTATCCTATCTCAATTATCACATCACATTGATCTAGTCACC